GCCGGTATCCGAGCCGAGTGGGAAGGCTTTGCTGCTGTGGTCAACCTAGAACGCACCCGAGCTTTCGGGGCTCTTGTGGAAGCTGCCCCTGCTCTCATTCCAATTTTGCCGTGGGATAAGCATTTTGAGAAAGACAATTTTCTGTCTCCGGACTTCACATCACTTGAAGTCTTAACATTTGCTGGTTCGGGGATTCCAATTGGAATCAACATCCCCAATTACGATGATATCAGACAAACTGAAGGCTTCAAGAACGTCTCTCTCGGCAATGTGATGAGCGCGAAGGCTCCGAACGAGAAGATTCCGTTCATTGCGGAGAAAGATGTTGATATTTTTCAACGCTATCTCGATGGCTCCTTCGAGGTCCTAGTCGGTCTCCACGAGCTCACAGGGCACGGTTGTGGTAAGCTATTACAAGAAACCGCGCCGGGGGAATTCAACTTCGACAAAGAAAATCCCCCCATCTCTCCCCTAACCGGAAAGCCTGTTACAACTTGGTACAAACCCGGCCAAACATGGAGCTCCGTTTTCGGCAGCTTGTCCGGTTCATATGAAGAGTGTCGTGCAGAACTTGTCGCCATGTACCTTGGCTGCGAATTCCCCGTCTTGAAGATCTTTGGTTTCGGGGACGGCTCAGTTGACATTAACGGCGAGGCGGGTGATGTGCTCTATGCCTCCTATCTCTCTATGGCTCGAGGCGGTCTCACATCGCTTGAAATGTGGGATCCTAAGAGTAAAAAATGGGGACAAGCTCACTCGCAAGCCCGGTTTTCCATTCTCAAGTGCTTCCTGGAGGCTGACGATGATTTCTGCAAACTAGAATATAATGGAGATGATCTAACTGGTTTGACGATCAACTTAGATCGCTCCAAGATCCTTACGGCAGGCCGCAAAGCGGTAGGCGACTATCTTCAGAAGTTGCACATTTACAAATCCACAGCTGATGTCGAGAATGGAACCAAGTTCTACACTGAGATGACAAATGTCGATCCTGATTTCTGGGGTAAGAAGGTTAGAAACGAAGTTCTGCGCAACAAGCAGCCTCGAAAGGTGTTTGTACAAGCCAATACCTACCTAGACGAGGCTACTGGTAAAGTTACACTGAAGCACTATGATGCAACCCCCGAGGGAATGATACAGAGCTGGGCAGAACGAAACGTCTAACTGTAGAAGGAGTATAGAAGGAGTACGTAACTCGGGTAAAGAGCATATCATGAGCATCTAGCATTCTAGGCGGGCAGCATCCGGGATTGCATGAAGAATTCATTTTCACAAAGGAATAAAAATCATGGCAAGAGAACGTGTTTCCTAACTCGTAAGCCTCAAAATTTCACTCCCAGTAAGCGGAATTAACAATCCGTGAATATGGATTGTCTTTTGCAAATATTAGTAACACGTGTAGCACATTACTTCGTCCACGCGATTCCAAGTTTTTTTTATAGTTTTTTGCCTTGATAGTCGTTTATTGACTAGAACCTCGATTACAGACGCCAGAATCAATGTGACCGATGCCTCAACGTCCAGATGCAATTGGCAGAGCCAGCCCAGTTCCGCGATCCGCCGTCCGCAAAGTCATGTAAGTTAGTTTTCTCTAAAAGCAACATTTCCTCCTAGAAACCTCCAGGCGAGCGCAAGTCTACCACTGCATCTCATGGGGCTTGTCGCCCTTTCGGAGGCTGAAAGAGCTGGCAAGGTAGCTGGCGAGCAGGTCCACCTTCTTGATGTTGGCGATTAGAGCCTTGTCGATGGTCTTCTGGTCCGCTGCTCGGCTGCTGCTGATCTCCTTCTTCTGTAGTGTCGCGTATTAGCATTCTGTCTCTTTCTTATCAAGTCTCCTGTAAAATAGTTCATACCTGTGGCTTCTCGCCCTGCTTGAAGAAGGCGTCCTCGTTGGCCTTGTCCTTTACCTTATCCCGGGCGAAGTACTGGGCTTGTGCGATCTCATCGATCTTAGCCTGCTCTAAGCCGGCGAGGTCGATCTTGTAAGAGGTAGCGATGACGTATCGCGAGTTGACTCGCCGTAGGGGGACACCGTTGATCTTGAAGGGGCCGGTGACGAGGAGAACACCCTCCTCGAGGGTCTTCAGGAGAACGACTCGCTTGCCTCGGAAGCGGCCGGCCAGGAGGATAAGCACGGTACCGGGCTGTAGAGACTTTCGCGGAGCCCAGGGGCGGAGGGCCTTGCGTGTCTATTGACACGGAATTGTTAGCAAAGTGAATTCGAAATTATCGGTAAGCAATGTAGTAGTTCGTCCGGGAAATTGGTTGTGTCTATCTATCTGCACAATTCCGTAACTGAAATTCAATGTAGAATTGCAGCAGCCTCGAGATTCGAGACGGATTCACCAAGACCACAACAACTTCTCTCACAAATTCCGAAATTCAACACATCGCGTTGCGAATGCCATAGATCCATCAAGCTCGGGAGGGGGTTTTTTTAATTGCTGTTGGTCAACTTACAGTCTTGGGCTTGGAATCATCGTCGGCGGGATACCACTTCTGTGCCTTCTGGGAAGGGTGAGGGACCTCCCGGGTCGACTTCCCGAACGTCTTCTGTGTGCTCGGCTGCGACATCGTGAAGGTTCTCGGGGGAGGAGGTGTTGTGGTGGGTTGAAGGGAAATTGTCAAGGTTCCTCGTTGTGGTTGATGATGCGAGGTCAGAAATTCCACTTTGCGCAAAAAGATCAATTCAGTTGTGGGCTTAGGCGAAGCCCTGGTGCCACCGTTCGAAATCTAATCTATGCGACAGGGTGGGGCTAATGTGGCTGGTGCGCTGCGGATCTTACAGCTGATAATGATAAGCCACAGACTCACGTTTCTGGAGAAGGTGCTTCTACATAGGTACCTAGGTACCTACCTAGTGAGTCTTACAGTGTATTTACGCTACGTATACGGTACATGTGTCGACGTAGCTCTTAGGTAAGCCAAGTCGAAGTTGTAAGCTCTTGCATCTGCTTGACGAAGCTCCTGCAGCCTTACAGCCAGCATCAATCTAAACAAGCGTCACGTAATTCCATTGACAACCATTTTCCCATTTCTCCAATTCTCTATTTTATTTCAACCCAGGCATACATTCATACCATAATTTTGACAAGAAACATTCGCCCAAAATGTCGATAACGCCTATCATAACGTTTAAGGCTGGCTTTTGCGATATAGATGTATATACACCCAAGTCTCTGGTTTAAGCTTATTGGCCGTCTACAGTCAAACGACTAACCAGAATACTAGTCTTCAAGAAGACCCTTCAAGGTCAAGCCCTCAGAACAGCCTGGTTATATTTACCTCTATTCCGAAGATGGTATGTATTGCCTAGCATTCTATGCCGAGCATTACGCATAATTACTCACGCCTCTTAGAACTACTTCACTTCTGCTGGCGAGAGCGGAGTGCACCTATCGACGAACCCGAGCTAGACCTCGTCATGGTGCCTACCGACGGCCATTTCGTACCTTACGACCCGAAAACTCAACCCAGCGGGGCCATCAAACCCAACGGCCGCGTCTTCATCCTCAAGTTCCTTTCCTCTTCCCAGCGCTACCTCTTCTACCTACAATCAAAACCCCAAGGTCGGACCGGCAACCCGAACTGGTTTAGCCCTCGCGACCTCAAGATTGGCGACATCGTCGACAAGCTTCTCCAGGGCGAAGAGGTCGACGTGGCGCGTGAACTGGCCTCGATCAATAACAGCAGCAACGACGACCGACATGGCAACGATAATGACGAGACCATGGAGGACGTCGAAAGTCACGGCGGTGCTAGCGATCCCCACGGAGGTAGCGGCGGTGCCGGCGCAGGCGCGACTGGCGGCGACGTACGGGATGAGGGCGAGGGTGCGCGAGAAGGCGGTGCCGATGGTGGTAGAGCGTAGGTGATTCCTGATTCTTCGTTTGCGGCGTTTGAAAAAGGATATTCAGGGGCGAGAACATTGCATGCACTTGACAAAAAGAAAACACTAGCCAATACGTCCAGAGGCTTTGGCCTGCTGGGCTTCCATGTAATACTAGAGATAAGCCCGCAAATGGGAAATAATATATCTCTTCGTCATTCACTTGCTGCCTATATGTCCGCTGGAGCTCTGCGCTGACGTTTTGTTAGTGCTGCCTCGGGAACCTCGGATGCTGCTACGGCAGTGAGAAACTTCCTAAACTCGCTGAATAGAGGAAGCCAAGTGGAACAAAAACTTTATCCGCTCCTTTCGGATCTTTTAACACCTCCCGTCACCGTTCCTATGGCCCGACAAGCTACAGAAGAGCAAGTGGACAATCTACTCAGCTTCTTACCTCCTTCGGTCCTGGTCCTATCCCAACAAGCGGATGAGGGAGACACTACGGCAGAACCAACCGCCGCGGCGATAGAAGCAGCCAAGGAAGCCATGAGCCTTGGCCAGAAGAAAGCGTTACTAGAAAAGGTCCTGCGAAGTCCGCAGTTCCATCAAAGCTTAGCCAGTCTGACGATGGCGATCCGAGACGGGGGCTTACCCAGCATCGCAGATGCGCTTTCCGTCCCAGTTGAGCACGGCGGGTATCTCAAAGGAAGCCAGATGCCTTTAGGCGGCGGGGATGCGGTGGAGGCGTTTGTGGAGGGCGTCAAGAAGAGCGTGCAGAAAAAGTAAATAGGATCGCCCGACTGTTGGGTTTATAAATAATGGTAGGCACTCATACATCACAAGTGTATAGATAATCTATTATTCAACGGCCCTTTGGTTCTTTGTCTTGTGATTGAATGTGGGAGATATGTAACATTTTTAATTTAGTAGAGACAGGATCAAGGTAACCCCTACTATTCTAATATCCTCACTTATATGACTTTGGTGTTTTGTTTTATCGACCGGATCACTGATAATCTCATAATATTGATATATTTACCTATAGTCCGCGACTGGATATCACAGGACAGCACGAAATCAGCATGAGGGAGCATAGATTTCTGCAAGTGCTCATATTAAATAAGTATTCTGTTCAGAGATCGTAAAGAAGAATATAACCAACCACCTCCCCTATTATGCGTGTATCTCTCTGTTCTCTCTCCCCATTTTCTCTCCCCCTAGCGTTGTCCCTAACTAACCACCGCCCAAGCAGCCAATCAATTATACCAGCCAAACTTCCTCCTCCACGCCTCCTCCTCGTCCGAAAACAACCTAGCCTGGCGGGCCTGGTCGAGGATCTCCTCCTCGCTCAGGCTCCTAGCCGGGGCGGCGGGGCCGTTGTTCGCCGCTGCCGCCGTGGGCGTCTCGCACCCGCGCAGCCCGATGAAGCGGCCGATGCGGCGCCGCTTCTCCTCCAGCGTCACGTCCGAGGCCCAGACGATGGGGCACGGGTAGTGGAAGGTCCACTGGCAGGGGGTCCGCTGGTGGTAGAAGTGCGCCAGCTCTTCGAGCTCGGCGTCCGTCAGCAGCCAGAAGTTGAGGAGCGTCAGCGGGAACGACTGGTGGATCTCGCCGGTGGTCAGCTGGACTAGCGGCGCGAGGGGGAGCGCCATCTGCCGCAGTTTTTCCCGGAAGGCGGCGTTTTGGGCTGCGCGGCGGTGCCCGAGGGCGGGGGGAGGTTGGCTGTGCGTCTGGTTCTCCATTGGTGGGGGGGGAGGTGTGAGAGGCGAGTGGGTGGTTGACGTTGTCGTGGTAGGTAGCTTGATAGGGTTGGGTGAGAAGACGGCTCGAGGTAATGAAATGTGGTGAATTCAGGCAGTCTGGTGATGATGATCTTGTGGGTTGTAATTGTTTTTATAACCTGACGGCCCTGATTTTCTTCTAGAAGACAAGTTCAAATTCTTGTATAATTTGAGAATGGCTACGATCTCTGCTTTGCTTTGCTAGCGAGATGAGTGAAGTTCTTTTAATGAGTGGATAATGCTAAAAGCAATGATAAAAATGATAAATAATAATGATAAAATGAGAAGGCTCGTATAAGATTCGTTCTTCTTCGCTTCTTTCTTGTTTTTTTTTTCAGTTATTCTAATCGGCCTTCGACGATTGTGTCTAGCCGCCAGCAGCTATGGGCGAAAGATAAGTTTTATATGACGGGACGTTAGGAGAGAAACGAGCACTTGGGGATTTTGGTCAACTACGCAGCTGCTGGGATGAAGTCGCAGGAGTCTCCTCATAGATTCGAGGGCGGCTGTCGTTTCTTCTTGTATGTACGGAGATGGCTACTTAGTTCTTTGTCAAGTGCTCGACGCTTCTGAGTGTTGCACTTCGGACGACTACTTCTTTGTTTGCTAGTGCCGCCATGTGTCTAAACGGAGCTTTGTCTAACCATGTTCAAAGTCTTTCAATATCCGAATAGCACCTAAAAGCATATTAAAGATGTAAATAGTTCCTCTATGGACCGGTTCAAAACTAATCTGTTGATTTCTTCTACCTAGAACCGCCATTGTGTCAGCTGCCTGCCCCTAGGCATAACCAAACAAAAACCGCTACTATTTTTGACTCTTCTTAGATGGTCTAATTTTATGAGCCCTTCTTCCCTCTAGAATCCCTTCCAGGCAAGCTTGGCTATGTGGTCCGCCTTCTTCCTGCTTTGCTTAACAAGACCCATGGCTTTCATCTCGGCCAACCCGCGATAGAATAAAACAAGTGCAGACTGTTCGTCGAGTTTATCTTCGTTTTCTTCACAGACAACTCCGTAATAAGCAGACCAAAGATCGGCGACGTTGACAAGAGAGCCAGTCTCAAGATAGAGTTGGTATAATATGGCAGCTGTAGGGAGCGACGGCATAATGCTGTCCTCCTTTGTCTCGCAACAAGAACAATTGAGATAGTCGTAGGGGCGTGACAATGCCCGCTCAACAACCCCTCTTGGCCGCGGGATAAATACATCTCTGTAAGGGGATTTTGAATCAAAGAACCAGAGTTCATTGAATAGTAGGTCCTTTGCGCTATCGCTGTTGAGTTTCTCCTTTAGATGCTCGATAAGTCCATCCATAAGATGAGTATAGGCCTTATCTTCGTCCGTGAGAGTTGCTGCATCTTCGCTGAGTTGGACTTTTTGAGCAATGACAGTCGTCCTCAAAATCTTAGTCTGCCCGCTGTACTTGCTTCGAAGAACATTCCCTTGTTCCTCGGCCTTCGCCTGCAAGTCTTTGACACTGGACAATAAGCTGGTAAAATATGAGACTGACCCTTCAGCTTCATTAGCCCAAGGATCTAACCCTAGGTTGATGTCTCCATTTTCCATATCAGATAATACCTGACTCAGAAATGTGATACTGTCTGCAGGCTGCATCCGCTTTATTGATTCCGAGAACTGGGCGATTTGTTCCGAGTCGATCCCGCGAGCAAGTGCATCCAGATAAAGCGTAGTGAAATCATGAGACAAAACATGATTAGCGGTCAAGATCTTTAGCTTGCGCAGAAGGTTCAATGACCACTGACGGAAGTCTTGTAGAGAATCATTTAGAAGTACTCGAAGATGCTGATCGTCGTCAAGAAGTAATCTTGCCTGCTTTATTTCACCCTTCCTAATAACTGCTTCTACGTGTCGACGAAATGAGGGCAGATATCGCATTGCTTCTATATGTGCATCCTGAATTATATCGGCACTTAGGCTATCAGATAAGAAGACCGTCAAAGGATTTGCGTAAAAGTGGCACATGTAAACATACTGAAAGTATTAGTATCCTATAGTATTCTATACTTCCTTGGCATGTATGCGACTTACTTTCAATGAGCTTGCAAATACTGGAATACTCGACACTTGATCCCGTTGGCGCTCTAGAAGATCGTGGACGAGGGAAGAACCTAATCGTAGCGAAACGTCTGAATGTGCGATAGCAGCCTTGAAGATCTTCTCAATAATCGATGTTGATTGCTCGACGTCAAATTGATCCCCGTAGAGACACTGGCAAGTAGACTTCAAGAGCCTTGCTTGGAATAGCTCTACTGAGGTAGCCACTCCGAAGAGTAGAGAGAATGGGATTCGGTCAAGCCATGAGCTGAAAAGCTAAGTTAGTCGTCGGACGTGAATAATGATAAGCGCACTAACCTGAAGAGTGAGATGAGATCAGACAGTAGACCGCTTTCAAAGGCCTCGCTGTCTTGAAATGCGATGATGATATGGCGACGGGGGCTGGTTTTGAGATGAGCATGGAGAGCCTCGAGGTCGTAGTTTAGATATTTACGTCCCTGGATTGCAAGTTAGAATTAATTATACTTGGGGTAAATCTGAAAACTCGGCCTACATCTTTACCCGTAGATAACTCCAAGTCGTTTTCATCATCTGTCTCTCTTGCTGTTACATTGTGTATGATCTTTTTCAAGGCAGCCTTCAGATTAGACGCGTCACCGGATCTTAGCCGCACTACTTTTGCATCTACTTTGACCTGTAGAGCTTCTGAAAGTTGCTCAAATAAGAGATCCTGAGAAGCTAAATTTGGGCCGGTGATAATGAAGGCAGAGGGGATCTTGCCCGTAGATGCATGATCAGGGACTGTCTGTAGAAATGAGGTAACCTGATCTAATGTAGATTGGTTTGTCATTCGTAGTATACGCTATATTAAATGGTGAGTTCTTATTGCTTATTGTTTAACGTCGTATACGACAGGTAATAACTAACTTGTATCCTCTCATCAATTTGAGACCAAGACGTCTCAAATAATTGTTGGCGGAGGCAAACACAGCGCTCATTCTCGGAACCACCAAAAAGGGGTTGGAAAGTTAACGAAGCATCTGGTTCCTGCGCCTCTGCCTTGTTTTGTCGATTTGAGACCTTCCTCCTCTTCGCAGGCCTACTTGCACCATCGACTCCGTCTAAGGGATCAAAGATGTAGGCAGCCTAAGTTTTATTAGTGTTAAGTCTGGTCATGTCGGTATAAGTATTATTACCTGGTGCTGCTTCTCTTCATAAGTTTCTCGTAGCGATTCGTCAACGGCCATGATTAGATATGAGTCTTGATCATGAGTCTTGAGGTTCAATACATAGGAGGTAGTAATGTAAGTTCGGTACGCGTCTTGAGACTTGTAAGTGGACGGTGGACGTGATCGTGCAGCGGTTGTACATAGACAGGGTCTTATTTTAGCGTTGCTTAATCCCTACCACCCTTGGGCCTTAAATCATCCCCTGTAATAATTCTAGGCGGGGCTGGCGGGACTAGGGACGCGCTAGACCGGCCAGCAGCGGTGATATCACCTTATCAACCTTAAATTTTCGTAAAAAAAAGATTCTTAAAGATTCCTATCTTTAGCAGCGTCTTGCCGCTCACTTACATAGGTAGTGTATCATCAAATACGACATAACATACAACCCTATTTCTCTGTCATGCCTCCGAGAACTGCCATCGTCGAAAACTTCATCTGTAGGTCATGTCTGTCGACTTTACGGAAGCGAACGCCCGCGGCGCAACGGGCTTTACGGCATTCTTCGCAAGCTGCACAACCCCTCGTTTCGACACACTCGTCTCGCCTATCACACGAACAAGAACTCGAACGCCAGAAGACCCTAGAGGCTCTAGGCCTCGTAAAAGAGGATAAATCCCGAGTGTCGGTTCATTATTTCGAGCAAGGGAAGGGTGGGAGTCTGCGCCGTCTACGAAATGAGGACGAATTTGGCCAGTCGCTGATGGACCCAGACGGTCAAACTGAGAGTCGCTTGAAAGAATTGGAGCAAGAGCTGGAACAAGCAACCCAATTTACCAGGATAGTCGAGGAACTTTGGGGGAAGCAAGGGGCCGAGAAGTTACGAAAACGAGTTGCGACCCAGGATGAGTCTTTACCTAAGCCTTCATTGCTATTGCCTGAGGAGGACTGGTCCGTTCTGGAAGGTCGCATACATATCGCCAAGCTAAACAATATGATAAAGACGACCGGTAGGAAAGTTTATAATGGCACTCTAAAACTTAAGCGAGTCAACTCGGCATGGAAGCATTATTCTTCAGCGCGCACCGCTTTATCCAAGAGGTGGGAATCAGTCCATGAGGACATATGGGATCTACTCTGGCAGATTCTTGCTGCAGACCATGAGAATAATCCCAACCGCATGTCACATATCCACGTTCTACTTGAAGATATGCAGAAGGCTGGTGTGAGCCTGCGTGCCGACCAACAACTCCTTGCGATCGAGGCCTCTTTTATAAGCGGCTTCAGGGAAGATGCGATCACAGCTCATAAAAAGCTAGTCACTACACTCGGCGCCAATCCAGAGACTTTTGCGGAATTTTGGCAGCTTGGGCTACGAATGTATTGCCTGATGGGCGACGTAGCTCGAGCCGAGCGGGTTGCTAACACGCTACTCGAGTCTCCCCACGACAAAGATCCTCGATATCTACTACCATTTATTCGAATGTGTGCCGAAAATTCCGCCACGGTAGAAAAGGGGTTCGAAATGTATCAACGACTCAGGTCCACACTGGGCGATTCGATTACTATTGACGACTACGATCAGATCATTTCGTACTTCCTTGCTTCAAACGAAACAGAGTTTGCATTTTATATATTTGTCGAAATGATGACTTCCAACACCATCGACCTACGCGGAGCTTACAGAGTGGCTCCCAGTGTTGCCAATTCCTTTTTTTACGGCAAATGGCTAAAGCGGCTAATAGGGGCAGGCGATCTGCAGGGTGCTTACAACGTTCTGCTGCATATGAAGTCTAAGGGCGTCATGCCTCATACGATTGTGGTGAATGGCCTAATTGGTGCGTGGCTAAGGTCGAGTACCGCCGATAATATACAAAAAGCCGAGGACGTTGCCTGGGCTATGATTAATGCCCGAATACAGTTTGTAAGCATTAGAAAAGACATGCAAGACCTCGCTACGTATGTCAGGTTGAGACAGTACGGAGAGGGCTGGCCTAGAGCGAGCCTGGAAACTTTCTCGCTGCTAGCAGAAAACTATAAAGATCGTGGCCTCCATGCCAAGATGGAAGACCTCTGGGGGGCTTTTAGGAGTGCAGAAATTACACCCGACTCATTCATATTAAACCAGTTACTCTTCTCCTATCTACAAGATGGGCAAGGGAAACATGTCGCGTCCCTCTTTCGCGGGTTGGCCGAACACTATCAAATTGAGCCGGACTCGTGGACTTTTATGGTTCTTTGGCAGGCATTGCCAGTCAACCGCCTCGTCCAGTTACCACTAGGACACATCCCCGAAGAAATATCCAGGACAAGGTCTCTCTTTGCCGAACTGGTTAAGTCAGCCCACATCTTTGCTACATGTGGTATAGATGTCAAACTAGCCAGATACATTCTGCACTCATTTCGTAAACTCGACGACAAGATTGGCCTTCTACTAGCGTATCGAGCATTGAGGCAGATATTCCAATTCACGCCCCCAGACATCATAATCCTAGAGCTACAGGTAGGATCTATGGATATCGAAAGGACTGGGAAGGGCAAAGGTGGCCTCCGATTGGTGCACGCCGGGAAACAGGTCGAGACCTATCTGAGACGAAGACATCGGGAGCTCATCGCGTCTGGAGAGCTTCGCGCAGGTGTCAACCTACCGGACGATGTGAAGAGGGAAGAATTGGGTAATTTCCTCGATCAATTCATACGAAACCAAATCGCGGTACTAGAGATCCCGAATGTTATGGAGTATATCACGCAGGCAGCCATAGAGATGGGGTTGCAAAGCGAGGTGTGAAGCCCCGAAGCGTTGTCGGATATATGATCCTGTACATCTGATATAACAGATATTCACAAGTTTTGTATAAAATACCCCATGATAGTGTACACTAGCTATCCATCTGCTGCATACCTTAGGTATTGAGGTCATGATAACTGTATGATTACATGTAGATAGCATCACCGACATGTGCCCCATTTACTCTTACCCCTATATCCCCTATATCCCCTATATATGTACATTGATACATCCTACGAGTAGATAAGAGATAAGGCTGAGTTGAATGTTAACCCCGAAACGGGCAGACAAAAAAGCCCTAGCGGGGGGGGCAGTTTTCAGAGTGGGTCTTGCACACATCCGGATGTCGAAAAAAACAATTAGCCGAAATTCCACCTAAAGTGTCAACCGAATGTGACTTTTTTCTGCTCTTCAGAATACCCTCATCAATCTCCATCAACCAACAACATCGGCTTTAAAAATCCTAACTTCACAAATAAGAAGACATGGGAGCCAGCAGACAGAAGAAGGCGGAATACGTACGTCGCAATTATTTGCTCACCTCAACGGCTTGTTTTCAGTAAGAAGTAATTATTAACAATCGGTTGCGCATAGTTCCCCAAGCTCAAGGGCTTGCTCGAGGAGTACCGCTCTGTTTTCCTCGTCACAGTCGACAATGTCAGCTCGCAGCAGATGCACGAGATCCGACAGTCTCTCCGTGGAGAGGCTGTCGTTCTGATGGGAAAGAACACCATGGTGAGTAGAAAAACTGCAAATCATTCCTATGTTTAGCCAACTTGTCGACTGATCGCGATATTCAGGTTCGTCGTGCCCTCAGGACCTTCATTTCCGATACCCCCGAGTACGAGCGTCTCCTTCCCCACGTCAGGGGCAACATCGGCTTTGTCTTCACCAACGGTGACCTCAAGACTATCCGTGACAAGATCTTGTCCAACAAGGTCGCTGCCCCTGCTCGTGCTGGTGCCGTTGCGCCGGCTGACGTCTGGGTCCCCGCTGGCAACACTGGTATGGAACCCGGCAAGACCTCTTTCTTCCAGGCTCTCGGTGTCCCTACCAAGATTGCCCGTGGTACCATCGAAATTACCACCGACTTGAAGCTCGTTGAGTCTGGTAGCAAGGTCGGTCCCTCCGAGGCCACCCTGCTCAACATGCTCAACATCTCCCCCTTCACCTACGGTTTGGGCATCTCGCAGGTTTACGACCAGGGCAACACCTTCCCTCCCAGCGTTCTCGACATTGGCGAGGACCAGCTTCTCAAGACTTTCACTAGCACGATCACTACTATCGCTGCTCTGTCGCTCGCCTTGAACTTCCCCACCCTGCCCTCCGTCATCCACTCTCTAGTCAACAGCTACAAGAAGGTCCTCGCCGTCGCCGTCGAGACCGACTACAGCTGGCCCGAGATCGAGCAGCTCAAGGACCGCATCGCCAACCCCGATGCTTATGCCTCTGCTGCCCCGGCCGCTGCTGCCGAGACTTCGGGAACTGCCGCCGCCGCCGAGGAGGAGAAGAAGAAGGACGAGTCCGAGGAGGAATCTGGTGATGAGGGTTTCGGTGGTCTCTTGTACGTCTCTTCTAACTCACAGGCTCCCAGCTTTACGATCTTGCTAACATATCTTTTCGCAGTGACTAAACTTCATGATATGATCGCGGTGTTAACGGATTGGCATCAAACTGGGCTTCGGTTGGGTTTGCAAGATCTAGGCGTGCGAAAATCGACGGTACATAGGTCTATAACGGTCAATTGAGACGCGTTGCAGAAGAATCAGATATGTCTGCCTATTTGTGATATGATGGTTGGTTGCATTGCCGCGTGCAAAGCTTTGCTTCCTCTTGAATGGTGAGTTCGAATCCTATTTTCAATTTCTATCTTTCTGCGTGTTCTATGATTATACAAATGATATCAAGAGCTTTTTAACCCTGAATCTTTTTTGATGACACACATCACGACCCTATGAGACACTTTCTCCCAAACCCGTTTTATCCGTACATATGGTATAAAGAGTTGAGCGCTAACCCACTCCCAGAAATGCAGACTACCTACCCTTCCTAAATCGTAAAATTACATGGCATTCTCGCCGTATTTTACCTACACGTTTAGACCGGTTACTGTTTCGTATCGTATCGTATCGTATCGTATGGGTGTCTTGACGTAGATACCGTAGCTCGTGATGGTCTCTGCCTCTCTTGATATTCGTTATTAATTAGGCACACTGGCTCTTTTGCAATATCTCACTCGCGACGGCGATAGCAGCTTCGGGTAAATTAGCCAAACGCGCTACCTTCAACGCATGACTTTGCCGGTTAACACCCTTTCGTAGCTTATGCACGTAGACGAACCCCCCAGCACCATCCTCTTCAACATCAGTACAATACGTATCCACAGGGCCTCCCTGCTCAACCATCATCTCCCTCTCAGCAGCCAGATCCGCCAGCCCGTGGAAATGCGTAGCAAACAGGGCCCGGCTCTGATTCACCGTAGCCAGATGATGCAGCGCGGCAAACGCCACTGCCGTGCCGTCTTCCGGCGTTGTCCCCCGGCCCACCTCGTCCATGATCACCAAGGATCGAGGGGTCGCTAGACGGAGTATGGCGGCCGTCTCGAGCATTTCGACCATAAAAGTGCTTTGGTCGGCGGACAAGTTGTCGGCGGACCCGACGCGCGAGAACACGGCGTCGGCGATGCCGAGGCTCGCGTGGACTGCGGGTACGAAACTGCCGGCTTGGGCGAGGATGGAGATTAGTGCGTTTTGGCGGAGGTAGGTGCTTTTGCCGCCCATGTTGGGGCCGGTTATTAGGAGGAGGCGGCCGTGGTGGTGGTGGTGGGGTTCGTGTAGTTGGAGACAGCAGTCATTCTTGGTGAAGGAGCGGCCTTGCTCGCGGAGACCGGCTTCGACGGTGGGATGTCGACCGCCGAGGACGATGTGTTCGCTCCTAGGAGAAGTAGTATCGATGTCGTGGAGTACGGGCCGCGTCCAACCGTGCTCAGCGGCTAGACGGGCAAAGGAGGCAGCGACGTCGAGCTCGTCGAGCGCAGAGGCGTTGCGGCGTAGTTTAACGAGGTTAGCGACGACGAGGGCGCGTAGTTCGGCTAGCAGCCGTTGCTCCTCGACGGTGACTTCGAAGTGCGTCTGGTGAATACGCCGCCCGAGCGTCGTCCACTCTGGCGTGTGGAATGCTCGTGTGCTACGGCTCGAGCTGACAACTATTGCCGCCACGGCATTGCTATTACTATCCCCGTTTTCGCTGTCTTTGCTATCGATGATTTTCCGCATGTCCCTGGCGCCCTTGACGTGGCACACGTGTCCGAGGGTAGGCGTCCAGCGCAGGGTTAGGCTGGCGGCGCCGTAGCGGGTGCGCAGTTCTTCGGCGAGCTCGGATTTCTCCTGCTGCAGAGACGATAACCTGGCGTGGAGCTCGCGTAGGCCGGGACTGGCTTCGGGCTTGCAGACGAAAGCTACGCTGTCGTCCGAGTAGTGTTCTCTTATCGAGGTGCTCTGCCTTCTCTTTTTCATAGCCATGGCCCCCTTGGGCAGGGAGGAGGCGTCCCCTGTCGTACCCTCGGCAGCGACGACGTCCTCGGCTAGAGTCAGGAGTTGTCTTGTTTCGCTATCTTCGTCTCGGTGTTGCTGGACTAATCCTTCCTCGTCGATGGACGTTTTGATGAGGTTGGCAAGGTGGGCCGGCTCTTTGAGCGTGATGCGCGAAAGGAGAGATGCGAAGCAACTGGCTCCTTTACTTTCAGCCTGTGTCCTATTCGCAGTGGGTGTCTCCTCCGAGGATTCTAGGAGGGAAACGATATCCTGGGTAGCTCGTATGGTGTTCCCGAGAGCGATAAGATCGTCCGGATCTCCACGACCAACCGCGAATTTCTGAACCAAACGCTGCGAGTCGTGGCTCCGCCTTAGCAATGTTACCAGCTCGTCGCGTAGATCCGAGTTCTGGATGAAGTGCTTGACGAGGTCTTGACGGGCCTTTATAGTCTCGAGAGACGTTGACGGAGCGCTAAGCCAGGCGTTTAGAAGCCGAGCGCCGCCTTTGGTAACGGTTTTGCGGACGGCGTGTAGCAGGCTCCCGCGAAAGGTGCCATCTCGGATCGTCTGCTTGATCTCGAGAGACCGCATGGTGCTCTTGTCGATGAACATGACAGACATGCTGTCGTAGCGCAACGGCGGCTGCAACTTCATGCTTAGACCTTGCAGGCGGTCCCGCACGTACTGTAGGAGTAAGCTCCCGGCGTGGACTTCGTCCGGACTGAAGCCCTGCGCTATTTGTGTCGAGATGTCGGATTCTAGCATCGGGCTCCATTCCGATAGTGGTAGGAACCCGGTATGCGGCGAGAAGGTGACCAAGTGCTTGTCCTCTGCTAGGACGCTGAAGAGCTGGTGATCCCGTTGCGATTCGAGGACCTGGTCTACAACCACCTCCCTCGGACCAACGCGCGAGAGGATAGATGCCAGTGAAGTAACTGTCGTGGACTGCGTGTAAAACTGCCCCGTAGAGACGTCTATCCAGGCCAATCCTATCGGCGTAGCAGCAGCGCCGACTTGTGGCGGGGTTAAGTTTCCCAGGTCTATACCCTTGATTTTACTTTTGGGTCTAGAAACATTGGCCTGTTGCTTCTTATGGTCGACGTGAATCGCCATGACATAATTGTTAGCATAAGGGTCGATGAAGTTCTCGTCGATCAGCGTGCCGGGCGTAATAACGCGCGTGACCCTCCGATCGTGCATCAGCCCATTCGACTTGATCTTGTCGCCCGGGTCGTTGGGGAACTCCTCCGCGATAGCCACGTAGCAGTTCAGGTCCTGGACCAGCGTTTTCAGGAACCGGTCTAGTTGGAAGAACGGGAAGCCAGCCTGTAATATAATAATAACATCAGAACTATGCTCGTTGATTAGGTAGGAAGTATATAATAGAATAGAACAGCATAATTACCATCGGCACCGGCCCAGCATTCGTCTTCTTCTGCGCAACCTTCAAATTCAACAACGGCCCATACTCCTCCGCCTGCTCAAAATACAACTCATAAAAGCCCCCAACCCGCGTGAGAAGCACACACCCGTCGAACCGCTGCATATTCATACGAGCCTGCAGCACGACAGTCGGGTACGCAGGACCCTCATCCAGATCCGGGAGGGGGGCCGGACGAGCAGCCTTCTTGTCCGGTTTGATGGGGCCTTGCGGGAGGTCGTCCAGCTTCATCGACGATTTAGTTTTCTTGCCTCGGACCTGCTGGAGGCTTATTTCTGTTGGTTTTCCTGTTACGCCAGCACCATAGAACTTGTAGTTCAATCGTCTTGATAAACACAGCGAATGCTGAGTCCGGCGGCCGATCCGGGCTCGGGCGAGCGCCCAAGTCAGCCGCCGGCAAGATGGAATACTATTCATATGGTCAGAATATCGACAATAATTAAGTTCAGTATATAATCCTTTTACAACAGTTGATTTTAGTTTCATTTCGTTGAACTTTTATCGTATGTTCAGTTCGACGTTTGAAGTTGCAAAATTGGCATGTAGCATTTATGAGATATGATTGATTCCCGCATACTGTGGGCTTTCCGTTGTTTCTGGCTGTATGGTACAGTTTCCATGGCACCTTCCGGAAGACTATACACTGTGTAACCCGACCCGACCATGAAATAGACTAAATTAAGAGTCAAGAGACAAGTTTATTATTTTAGTATATAATTAACCTAGGTCACTTCGGAAAGTACCTAATTTAAGCATCACAAACAGGTCAGTCAATTTGATGAAACTCGTATAGGAAACCCGCTACTCCTTTGCACTTCGTAAGCCTCTTTTTATCATACTTGAAACCCACGTAGCCGAATAGACAGACAAGACAAAACTAGCATATTTAGCAATATGATTACAACTGCAGCCTGTACGTCGCAACTTCGAAGGGGTTAACGGTAATCGAGAAGGCGCCATCCTTATTCAATTCAATCTCTTCCCCGTCATCCTCCAAGATATTCGTCTTGAACACCTTTTTAACATCCCAAGTCGTCTTAACCGTCGCTGTGCTGCGGCCACCAAGACTGTCGTAGACTCGAATGATAACGCTTTGTCCCTTACGGCGTGGAAGCGAAGTGTCGTGAGATACATCTTCGTCATCCTCTCCACGCTTTACGCAGTCCAAGATCAGGGAGTCATCGCCCGTTAGCTTAACGGGGTATTCCGTAAGCGCAGAGATGTCGGACGTCTTAGGTGCTGAGAGGACCTTTATCGGGAGGTTGAAGTTATATCCGGTGCGGACGGTTGTCGCACCTAATTCACCCTGATGGGGTAAGATGGCCCAGCGGATTGTGTGCTTTCCCATATCTGCGTGCGCATCAGGCGCCTTCGGAGACCGCAAGAGAGATAGGCGCATCAGGCTTCCGCAGGTAGCGAAGCCGTATTTGCTGTCGTTGAGGATCGAGACACCGTAACCATGCTCCGATAAGTCGGCAAACTTGTGGCAACACACCTCGAATTTCGCCATGTCCCAGGTAGTATTGTAATGAGTGGGTCGCTTAACAATACCGTACTGAGTCTCGTAAGAGGCCTCGGTATTTCTAATATCCACAGGGAATTCAACCTTTAGGAACTTCATGGTCTCGTGCCAGTCCACATGAGCAGTGCATTCAACAAACGACTGCTGGCCATCAAGGGCGGCAGACAGGCTTAGGATCGTCTGGATGGAGCTGTTTTCACTAATCCTTGCTTCCGTCAAGACGCTGACCCGATGTTCCTTGTCTTCAAAGATTCTAGTCTTGCCATAGGGCACCACTTTGCGAGTATCGAGATGGTATACCTCGACGTCCCATGCTTGCCAATAAAGTGGTTTGTCGTCGAAGATGACAAGTTGGTTGGCATTTTCCCCCTTTGAGACGATTTCGCGCCCTGCTTTGCGATCGAATAGTGAGGTTATTGTACCATCCTCGACTTGTACTGTCAGTTGATCATTCTGTAGGACGAAGATACCATCCCTGACTTCTTTAACGGTAACGGCTTTGGTTGCTCCTGCTTTGAACGGCTTGATGTTGATGAGGTTCTCAGAACCACAAGCGACACCGACTTCAGTCTTGGAAAGCTCAACGACTTCCTTTCTGTGCCAGGGGAGAGTACTGAGGGCGACAGTTCTACCACCAGACCCAGTGGGTCCTGCCTCCGTAACACCGAAGAGTTGGTAGATGTCTTTATATATAGCCTTGCCTAGCTCGAACACTCTAGCATATAACTGGTCTAAGTTAGCATACTACGTTTCTCTAATGCTTTGAGTAAAACCTACCTCATCTGAGTCATCATAGCACATCTCAATGGAACTTCCCGGAAGACAATCATGGAACTGACAAAGGAGCGTTGCTTCCCACATTTCGTCGAACTCCGCCTTTGGATATTTGTAAGATTTGAACTTTAGAGATGCGATAGTGGCTAATAATTCAAGTTCTCGTAACATAAACTCCGACTTCCGGTTGTTACGTTTGTTGTTCGCTTGTGTTGTGTATGTACCACGGTGAAGTTCGAAGTATAGCTCACCGTACCAGGTGACCAAGGTGTCGCCCTTCTCCTCGAGCTTGTCGAAGAAATCATCCACCGAGTTTCCTAGGTGCACTCTAGGCAAACGGCCAACCTGATCGCTGATACCACGGCAACGTCGCAGCTTCTCTATGTGCTGCCAGGTCGGGCCGCCACCACCATCGCCTTTACCAAAGACCAATAGCGAAGTGCTATCCTGATCCATTGACTTGTGCTGGGAGACACTGCGCTTAACATCCCCAAATTCGGCTTCTGAGGTGTAGGTCTCTGCTGGCGGCATGTGGCATATTACCTGGCTTCCGTCAAGGGCGACCCAGTTGAACGTAGTATGAGGGAAGTTGTTGATATTATTCCAGCTAAGCTTCTGCGTGAGGAAACGGTTCATACCAGCTAGCCGGCATACTTGAGGAAGTTGACTCGAATACCCAAAGGTATCTGGAAGCCAGAATGTCCGACAACGCTCTCCGAAATTGCTCTCGAAAAACCTCTGACCATATAAAAATTGACGGACAAGAGACTCGCCGCTCGGCAGGTTGGTATCATGCTCAACCCAACTGCCACCAATTGGATGAAACCGACGTTCCTTAACCTTTTGCTTGACCCGATCATAAGCATAAGGGTATAAAGATTTCAACCACTTATACTGTTGTGCTTGGGAACAAGCAAAATTCAGCTCCGGGTATCGATCCATTAGGCCACATTGGTTCGACCAGGACCTCGCTACCTTTCTCTTCGTCTCGGCCCAGGGCCACAACCAACAAGTATCGATATGGCAATGGCCAATACCAAAGACCTGAGGGTTGAGCCCGCTATCATAGACCCTGGAAGAATCGACGTTAGACCCAAGATATTCTTGAGCAATCTTACGGCCTTTCTTGATCGACTCTTTATCGCCGAGGACGTAGGAATCGATAATACTTGTAGCGACGTTCAAGGCTTTGTGCTGTTCCCACGAATCTTCAGGGAATTCCCGCGCGGCATCGCCAATGATCCAAGTGTCGATCCAGAGTTGCCGGGCATCTAGATTGACGGCACAAATATCGGCCTTAACAAGCTGGAAATATTTATTGGGGTCTGGCGGCTGAATGGTATCACCACCGGTTGGATTACCAAACATACTATTGCAGGCCATCTCGATATAGATAGTGTGCTCTTTGCCATCTCTGAAAGAGTCCGGGAGGATCCACTCAACACGTTCTCCTCCGCCGGTTAGACCCTGCAATGGCTTCCCGTCTTCAGTCCATACCATGCCCTCGCTGTTGGAATCCCATTGGAATTCCAAGTGCTCTTTATCCTGAAGGTCGGCGGGAACACGGAGCACAACCTTGAACCAGTGGGTAGACCAAGATGGACCGAAGGCCTGGCCAACGGAGGCGGATTTGTACTCACCAGCCACGGCCTCCTCGAATGTCGGTCTTGAGAGGTTTGGGGCGGGCCATGTCGAGAGCTGAACATGAGGAGGTCCAGATGCGACGCCCTCAAACATCATAGCAAGGAGGTTCTGCTTCTCCCATTGTCCCTTAGAGTAGAACTGTGTGATACGCTCCTTGTAGATGTGGGATATCCGTTTGCCGACCGGGGTAGGTGCCCGGAGGGGATAATCGGTCGAAACGACCTTTAGATTCGTAGTTTCGCCACCCATGGCAATTACCGTGACTAGCTCTTGGCTTCTTGCTGATATATCCCTGAAACAGCCAGATAGACGTTAGAACGCTATAGGGGATGCAAGCAGTCCTCTGAAAATAAACGAGTAGTTATCAGGTAGCTTGTGTTTGTAGAAGGTTTGGCCACGATAGGACCACTAAATGAAGTACTCGTACGTATGAAAGAAGGGCGGAAGGGTAACACGACGAGCTTCAGCTCCGCTGGTAATGAAATATGTATGCCAATGCAATAGTGTAATTGGCTGAGCTAGCTCACCAATGAAATGGAATGTATGGAATTGTGGCTAACAGCTCTAGAGTAAACAAACTTGGTGAATTGGACCTCTTATGAGCTAGCTACATATGTAATAAGGTAAGGTAAGGTAAGGTAAGCTCATTATATAGGTACTAGTGGGTGCCGAGGGTTCCTGAGACGCAGGGGCTTTGGAGGCCGCTAAGGCACGGAGGCACAGAGGAGCAGCTGACACTGGGTAGCTGCTTGGAGTCTTTGCGGGGAAACGCCTTGGCATCCCCAAAGCGAGCCCCGAGGACAAATCATCGAGCGTAGGTAGGTACGCATGGCCCGCACTTACCCCATTGTAATTCACCGCTATCAGCCTTATTACGTAGCTGATCTATGTAGGTAGGTAGGTGAGTTGAGACTATTGAGTTGAATTCTGCAAGATGAATATGAATTAATATAATTAAGTAGGTCAGGAGAGACGAGAGATTATGATATGGTTGAATAGGTTGGTCAATAGGACAGTAATCGGGATATTGTAGGATGTGAAATAGTAAAAAAAATGATATGCTCAAATAAAAAGTGAAGGTCGGCTGAGACTATGGGATATTGTAGCTTGTAGGACAAATATATTTAGGTGCCTACCTCTTATCATAAAGCATAAAGAGACATTCGGCAGTTACGAAATCAAGGTAAGAACATCTTGATATTATAAAAACGGTAGGTACCTCTTATAAGGTTGCACAGCAGTCCTACAAAAGTCGTCCTGTCGGCAACGCACGTATAGCCAAGCGGCCGTATAAGAAACTATATCGTGTGCATTGATCACAAGGGAAACCTAGGTAGGTAACCAACTGCTTTGCCATAATAATATCTCAACAAACTTTACAATGATAATTAGACTCGGCATTGCAAAGATAAAAGTAATAAGGCGTATTAGATAGTTACTGTCGAATAAACATCAAGTCATGTTCTATCATGATACATCTACTTAACGAGTAATCGAGCAATTAAAGGTAGCCTACGCGTCTAGTCTCGTTGATCCCTTTCAGACCATTCTTCCTGGGGACACATTGCCTCCTCCATTGCTTTTCCCAAACCAACCCGGGATGAATATACATGCCAATATAGACGCGAAAAGGAACACGGGCTACGGTCGAATTATAAGTATGTAGTACTAGAGTGAAATCTTTGGTATCATTGGTCCGAAGCAGTCGTTAATCGCGATGCATTTCCCGTAGAAATAAAATGGACGACTCCGCAAGTGCACAGAGAAGAAAGTTATGCAAGGATGAAGCTGCATGTATTCTTGTTGCCATTAAGCCAGATTTGATGCCATAAGCGTAACCATTAGAACGCATCTTCCAGAGGGCAGTCGATGCTGTCATGCCCGTCTCGCTCGCATAAAGCACACCACTTCTCTGCATCTACCACACCACTATCCTTACCCGCTAACGGCCCTAAGTCTTGCGGGTTAGGGAGGATTTTAATTGCAGCCGGGGGAGCGGGAGGAGGCGAGATAACTGTCTTAGGCTTTATTGGGGATAGGGGACGAGGTGTGTCGTCTTCATTAGCGCTGGTAGGAACCGACATGCTCTCGAAGCTCTCTCGCGACTTATCGGATGCTTGGTCACCCGCTATAATCTTGCTTTGCTCGTTCTGGGATCCGAACATGTTAGTGCATGTAAGAATGTCGTGGCCGCCAGTCTCGCAAATCTCGCACCAGAGCGTGCTATTCTCGGTAACGGATGAATATGCATCACTCTCGGGCATTGTGTCAAGAGTTTTCATACGCTTGTGGGTGGCTTCGGGTGAGCGTGTGTCGCGCGGGGGGACTACAGTTCCCCTGGAATCGCGATACGATGATCGATTGGCACTGCCGGTAGTAGTAGAGCTGACACGGTTCATTGATGCACCGGCGCGCCTAAGAGACTCGATCTCACGCTCAAGCTCCTCTTCTCGGTTGCTCTTGTTGTCGATAAGACCGCGCAATTCGAATACTTCCCGTTCCAATTTTTCCCTCGTCGAGCGGTTATCGATCGAATTCGGCCGGGAATTAATTAGGGAATTATTACGTTGTGGCTGCGTAGGCGTCTTTTCCGGAGAATCCGAGGCGGGAATAGAGTCCCTGCTGAGGGAATGGATAATAGCCTTGAGACCTCTAATCTCGTCTTCCTTTTGTTCTAGCTCCTTAGACATGGACAACTTATCCTCTCCGCTGTTACCCCCATTCAAGGCCGCAGCGGCTTTCTCACGTTCCCTTCGTAATTCCGTCCTTGTCCTTTCGACCTCTCCTCGCAAGAACTCTACCTCGCCACGTGCCTCCGCTTCTCCTCGACGAGCATCTTCCAAGCCTTCCTCAAGCTCCTGAACTAACTCTTCGAGCTGCTTAAGCTGGCGTGCGACGCTATCGACATCCTCGTGTCGCTCCTGTGCTTCGCGAAGCTCTTGTTCCAACTCGCGAATTTTAGCATCATAAACCCTCTGAGTTTCAGTGCTGGCCATCTCGAGAGTATCGATAGTGCTGCGAAAATCCGCTCGATGTGTATCAAACTCGGCGGTAAGTGTGGCGATTTTCTCGTTCTTCTCTCTAAGCATCGTTCGAAGCTGCGAACTGTCCTTGTCGTCCACGCTACCTGCTCTCATCCTCCCGCTATCCGACTGATCTATCAGCATCGTAAGCTCAGAGAGACTACTCTCCATTTCAGCCAGAGTAGATGCTTGATCTTTCAATTGCCTGTCTCGGTCTTCGAGTTGGGCTCTGAGCCGTTCGATTTCTTCCTCATTTAAGTGAGCAGCCCGTGATGCGGGGCGCTTAAATGATAGTGATGATACCGATCCAATACTTCCGTTGGTCTTAGGATGCAAACCCACAGGCGTAGTTTCTTCCTCGTCGTAACTGAAAATCGGCCCCATAGCCGACGCACTTCTAGGGAGTCTTAACGGCTTGTTCGGATCCCCGGGATTACTTCGCATACTTGCTCCAAGCTTAGGGACGCCGGGGGTTCCATAGCGAGAGGGTGCCCTCGGGCCTGGTGTCGCTGTCATCGGTCGGGGCGCCGGGGTTAATGTTAACTTGCGAACGGGCGATTCAGGACGTGGTAAGGATGGTCTATTTCGTTTGCCTTGGGGGCTTGGAGCTCTGGTTGGGCCGAGAGACTTGCTAAAGCTCGGTAGTGAGGGAGTCGGGGGTGTATAGTTCGTAGCATTCTGACCGGCGACCCTTAATCCAGGGGTGGGGGGAAGAGAACTTGAAGGCGTAGGGGGCGAGTCGCGTTGCTTAATGAGTTTATGAATCGGTACAAAGATGCCAGAGCCAGGGATCGAAGTAATAAAGTAGGATATACTGCAAGAGGTGTTGGTAAGCAAGGAACAGATCGATACGGAAGGAAATGAAACAGAGTAAACACAAGTGCGGATAGATAAGACGGATAGATAAAAGAGAATGTCAAGATTTACCCATCAACATCGCCGCTATTCTTGCCGCGTACAGCGTACTCGGGATGTAGCTCAACACCAACAAAGGTGCCTTTCCTTCCAGCAACTGAACCTACAAAGCGAACAGTTCCAGTCATATTTCCAGGGACTTCAACGTTGTCACCCAAGTCGAAGCCATCGCCGGCGCCGGCGCCCTTTCCTGGCGTAAAAGGGGGCATTTTGTGTGTTGAATCGGTGAGGACAGTATCTATGGCGTAGCTCTCGCTGTCATCAGGAATTGAAGCTAATGAGCTTGGGGTCAGTGCGGCAAATGAAGCTTTGCGCGCAAGAGCGCCCGAGCTTGGAAGGAGTCTCGAATGTGCAGAATAAACGCTATTGAGGTTCGGTGTAGAAGCGGTAGCGATTCCAGATTTTCTAAGGGACCGAGACAGAGTGCGTTGTCTCTGCGGCTGCGGTAAAGAGAAAGTTGTCGAAGCCATAGTGGGCAAAGACTCCCTTTCCCACTCTTTATTACACTCCTTGGTGTGTAGGTACTATGTATGTAGTAGTTGTTCTTTTTTTTTACCCGCTATTGATTTATGGAGCGGGGACCTTCAGCTCTCGTCCAATCCGATAATCTCACTGGCTCCCGGCTCTCCCACTGAATCTCACTAATGGGGGGTACACTTAGGGGCACTCCTATAAAAAGCCCACTAAAGCAATGGATGGTATAGTGGGCTTCTGGTAGCTATTGCCGTCGCGTGGGAGAGAGGGAACTGATTCCAGCCAATGATTGGTAACGGAAACCTAAACAAGCTTGGTGCACTAAGACCTAGAAGAGATTAGCTGCTAATAAGAGAAAAATGTACGAAGGTACAGTAGTTCATACATAGCAACCCAAAATAAAAAAATATAAAAGAACACATTGGGATTCGCAAATACCTACTACCAGAAAGCAACCACAACTAAATAACCCGGTTTGTCCGAGTTGAGTGGAATTGAAACACGAAATATAGGTAATAAAAGACTCTGACCACGCTGGCAATCTCGAGGCCCGGGTAGTCTTTAATAGATGTATGAATAACTCGGGGAATCCATATCTTGAAAACACAACATGGAAGCTGCAAGATCCTGAAGAAAACAAAACATGCATACATTACCTAGGTAGGTAGGTATATGTATAAAGTAGGAATATGTATGTTCGATGATCACCTACCGTTCAATGTGGATTCGACGTGGCTAGGGTCGACCTACATACATGTACCTAATGTACCTATTCGTAGTGACTCCTGGCACTTTTTAGATGCGTTAGTCACGATGGCGGCAGCGATGGTAGCAACAATAGCGATAGTGGTGAAGACCATTAAAGACAAGTACAATACCAAGAGCAAAGCTTGCAATTATCGATTTATAGCAGTAACTACCTTGATACCTATATACCTAGGTCGTAGGTATGTATTCGGCACACTCCAAATCTATCTATCATGGACACAATATGAAGCTTACATACTGTGCTCAAATTCTGTGGCGATTTCAGCGCCATGACCTAAGCTATAAACAAGAACCAAAGCTATGCCAATCATATCTCAGGACTAACGTGCGCTCGGGTGGTGAGACGGTAGACCTATCATTTTTGGAAGCTACTTTGACGCAGCGATGCAGCAACACGGGCCGTTGATGCTTTTGTCTAGGTTAGGTACTTTAAACAACTCACTCTGAGTTTAATTTAATCTACGCTACATAGTACATAGAGGTACCGTAGTTATGGAGACT